TGTGGCACATAAGGAGTTCAAAGAAGGAAAGCGAGGGCTGCAGTAGCCCTGGGACGTCTTTAGGGATGAGGTAGAATTTGCGCTGTCCTTGAGAGATGGTTAACATTTGGAAAAGCAGAGGAGTGAGAAGGAATGCTGTTTTAGATGAATAAACCATGTGAGGAGGCAAGATCCATCATAGCCTGTTTGTGCTTACGCAGAGCAGAATGGCCTTATTTGAGCAAATCGAGTATGTGGCAATAGTGGGAAATGAGATGAAATAGATGAGGTGGGATTCAATTATGCATGATTTTCAAAGGCCAGCAGAATGCTTCATCTTGATATGGTAGGTAATTGAGAGTCAAGGCTTTTGATCAGATGAGTTAGAAAATGAAAAGATGTCTAGGGGTGCCTGGGTGGCTCAGTCGTTAAGTGTCTGCCTTCGGCTCAGGTCATGATCCCAGGGTCCTGGGATCAAGCCCCACATTGGGCTCCCTGCTCAGCGGGAAGCCTGCTTCTCCCTCTCTCACTCCCCCTGCTTGTGTTCCCTCTCTCGCTGTGTCTCTGTCAAATAAATAAATAAAATCTTAAAAAAAAAAAAAAGATGTCTAAGAGAGAGGTGTTGGCATTTGTATTGCTGATGGATTTTAATAAGAGGAGAGGTTGGAGGAGGGGGTAGAAAGTTGGGAATGGGGAGTGTTTCAGTAAAAGTACCGTAATTACAAAAAGGTGGGAACAGAGAGGAAGGAATTAATATTAAAAATTTCGAAGGAAAATTTGATAGAGCTCGAACACTCAGTACAGAGGAAGGGTAAATCAAGGATGGGCAGTTTTTGAGTTTCTGCTTTTTGTCCTGATGTGTAGAAAGAATGTTCTTTATTAGTGAAAATCTCATAAATCTGTTGGAATATAATCTCCATGAATGTGAAAAGAGGGAAGACCTAGTGCCATGATCAGGGGTATCCCCAGCACCTGGCATAGTGGCTGGTATATAGAAGTGTTCAAGAAATATTTGTTGAAAGGATGAAAGAATGCATTTAACATGCCAATCTTTAGGTAGATTTTAGTTGCCATCTGTAAAATTTTTTTTTTGAGTAGGCTCCATGCCCATTTTGGAGCCCCATGTGGGGCTTGAACTCACAACCCTGAGATCAAGACCTGAGCTGAGATCAAGAGTTGGACACTTAACTGACTGAGCCACCTGGGCGCACCTGCCATCTATAAATTTAGAACATGCCAATTTCACTACCAAATGGTGACTTTTAAAGTAGTACTTGTTGGGACACCTGGGTGGCTCAGTTGGTTAAGTGGCTGCCTTCGGCTCAGGTCATGATCCCGGGGTCTTGGGGTCGAGCCCCGTGTCGGGCTCCCTGCTCAGTGGAGAGCCTGCTTCTCCCTCTCCCTCTGCCTGCCGTTCTGCCTACTTGTGCTCTCTCTCTCTCTCTGTCAAATAAATAAATAAATCTTTAAAAAAAAAAATAAAGTAGTACTTGTTTTTTTTTTTAAAGATTTTATTTATTTATTTGAGAGAGAGAGAGAATGAGAGAGAGCACATGAGAGGGGGGAGGGTCAGAGGGAGAAGCAGACTCCCTGCGTAGCAGGGAGCCTGATGCGGGACTCGATCCAGGGACTCCAGGATCATGACCTGAGCTGAAGGCAGTCGCTTAACCAACTGACACACCCAGGCGCCCAAAGTAGTACTTGTTAACATTTTCTAGTAGCAAAAATTGTTTATATTTGTTGTAGAAAATTGGGAAAATATGCAAAAGTACAAAAACACAGTTACAATTACATTTACTTCAGAGATGACTGCTGTTGGTGTATAGATCCTTCTGGGTTTTTTTTTTTTTTTCCAGTGTGGATACATATTTATTTGTAAAATGAGGTCATATAGTAATCCTGATTTATACCTGCATAAATGTCATTTTTCGAAGTAAAATGGAACTGTTTGAACCTCCAAATAATGACAGTAGTGGATTATAACACGTAGAATATTGTAGGAATCCACGAGACCATGCTGATATGAATCAGAAGGGAGTTTTTCCTTAAAGTAGAATACAGAGTAATGGAGAAGGATTGCTAGAAATAGAAACATCACCATGTAGCAACCACTGTAGTAACACAACACAAGAATCATGAATGGCTGCTAAAACCAATAGGTAAAAGTTTGATGAGAAACAGAATGTTTGCATAGTCTCAATGTATCTTCTCACAAGATACTTATCAATTACAAAGGGAATGGTAATAACCTGCAGACACTACCTCCTCCAAGTGATGATAGTTAACATCACCAGTAATGTGACAAATTAACATCATCTCCCTTCTGTGATGCCCTGTGAGGGATACAGTATCATTTCTGCAGCATTCCTGCCCAGAATGCAAAACCTGAAATTAATCACGAGATAACATCATACAAACCAATTTGAGGGATAGTCTACAAATTAAATGACTTGTTTTTTTCAATGCTGAGGCCATGAAAGATAAAAAGGATTGAGGAACTCTTCCAGACTAAAGACTAAGGAGATGTGACCACCAAATGCAACATTTGATCCTGGGGGAAGAAAAAGATTTTTCTTTTCTATAAAAGATGGTAATGGGACGAATGGTGAAATAAGGTTGACAGAGTAGATAATAGCACTGTGTTAGTGTTAATTTCCTGATCTTGACAGTACACCGTGGTTATGGAAGAGAATGATCTTGTTAGGAAATTCATACTAAGGTGCTTAGGGTTATGTAAGGGGCCATCATGGTTTAAAAATACAGAGAGTAGGGAGAGGGAGAGGAAAGGAATGATAATGCAAGTGTGGTATAATGTTAACATTTGAGGGATTTGGTTAAAGAATAGATATGACTCCATTGTACTATTTTTGCAGTGTTTCTGTAAGTCTGATACTTTCTCAAAATAAGTTTAAAAAAAAGTGGAACTAGAGCTTCTGGATTGGTCACCAGTGAATCAGTGAATATTTTAATTAATTTATATAGTATTTGTGTATGTACTGCTTGCTGACTTTAGGGGCTATCATTCCTTCTCTGTATTATTGTCTTAATATTTTTTTATTTTACTTTTTATAAGATTTTATTTATTTGAGAGAGAGGGTGAGAGAGAGAGGGAGAGAGCACAAGCAGAGGGAGCGGCAGGCGGAGGGAGAGGGAGAAGAAGTAGGCTCCCCACTAAACAGGGAGCCCAATTCGGGATCAATCCCAGGACCCTGGGATCATGACCTGAGCCAGAGGCTGACACCTAACAGACTGAGCCACCCAGGCACCCCACATCTTAGTATTTTTTTTAAAGTATGTCATAGGAAAGAGATAGAGCACTGGCTTAGCCATCAGAAGATGGGTTATTCTCTTAAGTCTGAAACTCATTTTTTTAGTGAGACCTTGAGAAATCGCTGTTTCTGGGTCCCAGGTACTTCATCTGAAAATTTTTGCCGGGGGGGCTGGATAAGCTGACATTGATAACTGGATTCTAGCAGTTCTGTGATGATGGGCTCTGGATTCACTGACATGGTTGGAACTCAGAGAAGTGTTATAGTCAGCTACTTGAAAAAGGCCCAAGCCTTCTCACACAAGTAAACTGAAAAGACTCTCAGAAATCGGAGCTAGAAGATACCTGTCGGACCATCTACTCTGAGCCTCCACTAGCGACACCCGACTTGTTTGCAGCACACCCTCTAAGTTGTTTTACCAGTACTCTTTTTTTCCAGCCATTCATTATTTTTCCGGAGACTTGACTTGTGTTTTTAGTCACCCTTTCTTTTAGTCATTTAAAAAAAGGAATGTGACTTTTCTTCACTTAAAAATTTTCCAGTTCTTTCATATTTAGCCTTTACCTTTGGAAACCAATTTGCTATTATGGCAGAGATTAATAGGCAGGTGGATTGTTTTCCTTTAGAATCACAAAAGGATTTAGTTGATGCAGTTGACTGTATATGATCAGAAAGTGATGGGAATAGAAATGAAATTTACAAATGAAAATGAAGATTTTTAAGTTTGTGCATTAAAAATCTTACTAGGTTAGAAAATATAACAGGAGAGTTACTTTTGCTCTTACTAAGCTTTTCCATATCATACCCTAAAAAAGAAAGAATATAAGGATGTCCAAAGCAGACACACTGATCTTCTATTGGTGAGGATGTAAATTATTCTTTTTTAGAGGTGATTTAAAAATATTTATTAAAAATAAAGACGATTATGCATGCTAACTTGAGTTCACTTCTAGGAATTTATCCTGTAGAAATATTCATTGCAGCATTGTTTATAAAGCTGAAAACTTGAACAGTGCTCATTGTTAGGAGACTGCATTAATAAATAAGGACATGTCTTACAATGGATTCTTATACAACTGTCAAAGAATAATGTAAGAGGTTTTTTACATTAATATAAAATGGATTTCCTGTTGCTATTTTTAAAAATTGTGATAAAATATATAAGACGTATGATTCGATATTTTAACCATTTTTGAGAGTACGGTTAAAGGGCATTAAATACATTGACAGTGTTGTGTAATCATCAGCACTTTTTCTCTCTAAAACTCTTTCATCATGCCCAATTAAAACTCTGTGTAGATTACATAATAACTGTCCCTTCACCCCTCCCAGGAAATTTTTACGTATGGACATGGAATACTGCCCAAGTACATAATTTAAATGATAAGGGAAGATTGTAAAATAGTATGAATGCTGTGATTCTGCTAGTAAACTGTGTGGTGAATTATTATAATAATATAAGTAAAGAAAAAATCTGGGAGGCTACATATACTAAACTGGTAAAGAGGGATTTGGGGGAAGATTTTTACTTTTATATTATATTTTGGTAATTTTTTTGTTTTAAACAATGGGCATGCATAACTTTTCTAAGCAGAAAAAGAGAGATACTTTAAGCATTGTACTAAAACTGGGTGATTTGGATGCCTCTGATTTTGGCGAATGAATAACAGACTCTGCTGTGTGGTTGCTGAATTTGAGCTTATGTAGAACCTAAACACTTTATTATTAAAATAATGATGTTTGTTTTCACAGCTAGAGTTGGGAAGACATCACTGATTATGTCTCTGGTCAGTGAAGAATTCCCAGAAGAGGTAAACATTTTTATGTCTTGTCTATATTTAAAATCCTTTTAAATTTATCAAAATCGAGTTAAAGTGAAATAAATTCTGCACTTTTTTGGCATGTGTTTTCCTTCTGACAGTTGTGGCTTTAAAAGGGCTCATATTAGTTTATACAAGCCATCCCTGAAACGTAGTGCAGGAGCAAGAATCAAACTAGATCTGAGTTCACCTAAGTCCTTTGCTTTTCCTCCTTTTGATTTTGGCTAGGACATTTGTCATCTCTGTGCCTTAGTTGTCTCATCCGTAAACTGGAGCTGGAAGGGATATTAGAGATCATCAAAGCTGTTAATCCTTTCCTAAAAATAAAATGTTATTCATAACCCCAAAATATAAAACAGGTGAGTATTCCTTTAGTTGAAGTAAGGGCTTGAAACGTCTGGCTGGCTCCCCACCTGCCTTCCGTCTGACACTCCCCAGTCTTTGAGGCATTAGAACCCCTAGGATTCTGACACACATATTTGAGAACCTTTAATATTATCCATTACATCATTTTACAAATGAAGAAACTAATTCATACCACCTCTGCCTACCTCAGAGGGTTGTTATGTGTCTCAAATGAGGTAGGCTTAATAATAGTAGAGTACCACCAAAAGTAAGGTGGTTTTATGATTACTGGCAATATATTTGTGTTCCAGAATGAGGGACTGTTGGCTGAGGCCTTATTTAAAGTTAGAATTTTGTTTTGGGGAATGGGATTGATGCAAATGGGATGAACACTATTTATTCTCTTCACATAGTTGGTGTATTAGCCCCACAGTTTGCATTTCCCCTTTCTTTACTCTTGTTTAGTTAAGAATATGTGTATAATTTCATTGTTCAGACAGGAATTTGGTATATTATATGGTAGTGTTTTCAACAATTACAAGTGCCACATAACCATTCATTGTTTCTTTTGCTTTTTTTCCCTCTTAAATAAGATACTGGAATAAGTAATTACTTAATTTGTGAAATAAAGTGTATCATCATATGATCACTTGGAGTATAATACCTAAAGGCTTTCTGTGATCATTTAACTGAGTTTAGAATTGTCATTTTAGCATAGTCCTCTTGGGTATGGATAAGAGGCTTTTAATTGGCTTAAAAAATCATAGAGTCTTTCTAAAAAATGGAATCATTAAATATAAGGCTTATGTAGCCAATCAGTTACCTTCTAGAAGAAATTAATTTTGATAATTTATTGTTTTATTTGAGAATTGCTTTGGATTAACATAGCTCCTCATTTGTAGCGTGTCTTAAGCATCAACAAAATGGAATGAAAACAGCATTTTAAAAATCAAATGTTTGAAACACCGAATTAATTTAAGTATTGTTTTAGGCTGCGTTACATCTGAAGTATCCTTAATATGTCCTTAATATGTCCTGTGCTCACACAAGTAGAAATGTGCATGCTTTTTATTTTTTATCTTTTTAAAGATTTATTTATTCATTTGAGAGAGGGAGAATGAGAGAGAGTACATGAGAGGGGGGAGGGTCAGAGGGAGAAGCAGGCTCCTCGCTGAGCAGGGAGCCCGATGCAGGACTTGATCCCGGGACTCCAGGATCATGACCTGAGCTGAAGGCAGTTGCTTAACCAACTGAGCCACCCAGGCGTCCTGTGCATGCTTTTTTAAAAGAAGTGTTTATCGGGGCACCTGGATGACTCAGTCGGTTGAGCATCCAACTTGATCTCAGTTCAGGTCTTGATCTCAGGGTCGTGGATTCAAGCACAAAAATAAGCATTTGAAAGTGTAATAAATCTGTTAACAAGTTTGATTGATAATATCCAAAGGTTTTTTTTTCTTTTCTTTTCTATATTTTTTTTGCAAATGAAGGTTCCTCCCCGAGCAGAAGAAATTACCATTCCAGCAGATGTCACCCCTGAGAGAGTTCCAACACACATCGTAGATTACTCAGGTAATGAATATCCTCTTGTGGGTGAAGCTGCAGCATTAATTTAATAGTCCTCAAAAAAGGTGTACATACTGAGCTTTAAAAAATGTTCCAGGATAAGTGTTCCTTTTTCTCTAGCAATAAATAATTTACTATTCTTGTCTCATTTATATCTCCTTGCTAACCCCCACCCCACACGCCATATAAAGCCTCCGTCTTGTAGTTTTCTGTCCCAGATTTACTAAGTTGGGTTCCATAATAATGAAAAGGAAGGAGTGATGGTAAATGACAAGTAGTAGATAAATCATTATCCTCCTTGACTTGGCATGTTTGCAGAGGTAAGTTCTGGATTAATTTTGTTATCAGGGATTCAGGAATTCTGAATTTGAGAATTTGTTGAGTTCTAAATTTGTTCTTTAATTTATCAGCCTTTGTCCCCTCCCCCAAATAATAGTTAAAACAGTCATCAGCTTGCTTACATTATATGATAATAGAAGCACATTTTTATTGCTTTGAATAATTTAAAATTTTTCTACCCACTAATACTTGCTTTTTTTTTTTCTTTCAAAGATTTTATTTATTTATTTGACAGAGGGAGAGAGAGAGAGTGGCAGGCAGAGGGAGAAGCAGGCTCCCCACTGAGCAGAGAGCCCAATGTGGGGCTTGATCCCAGGACTCCGGGATCATGACCTGAGCCAAAGGCAGATGCTTAACCGACTGAGCCACCCAGGCACCCCAAGGACTTAACTTTTTAATCACTAAATTATTTTGCTCTGTTCTGGGACTTCTTTTAAAAAAAAAAAAAAAAAGGGAGGGATGACTGGCTGGCTCAGTTGGTAGAGAGTGTGACTCTTGATCTTGGGGTTGTGAGTTTGAGCCCCACGTTAGGAGTCAGTTGTAACAGATGTACCACTCTGATGGGGTATGTTCATAATGTGGGAAGCTATGTGGGGGCAGGAAGTATATGGGAAATCTCTGTGCCTTCCATTCAGTTTTGCGGTGCATTTAAAACTGCTCTAAAAAATAAAATCTGGGGGTGCTTGGGTGGCTCAGTCATTAAGCGTCTGCCTTCGGCTCAGGTCATGATCCCAGGGTCCTGGGGTCGAGCCCCGCTTCGGGCTCCCTGCTCTGCGGGAAGCCTGCTTTTCCTTCTCCCACTCCCCCTGCTTGTGTTCCTGCTCTTGCTATCTCTCTCTCTCTGTCAAATAAATAAAATCTTTAAAAAAATAAAATAAAATAAAATCTGTTTGTAAGCATGGCATAACTACATTGGTAATACTTTGTTTTCCTAAGCTGGTATCCTACATATTCTAAAGATGAAATACTAGGACTGAGCAGTCCAATACATACGACTATTGAACACTTAAAACCTGGCTAGTCTAAGCTGAAATGTGCTGTAAGTATAAAATACAGGTGGAATTAGACTTGGTGTGAGAAAAAGAATATAAATCTCAATAATTCTCTTGTTGAGTATATGTTGAAATTTTAATATTTCTGATATCTTGGGTTAAATAAAAATGTGCTTTTACCTGTTCCTTTTTACTTTTGTGGGGGGGAGAGGGGCACAGAGAAGCAGGGGAGAGAATCTTAAGCAGGCTCCATGCCCAGTGCAGAACCTGACATGGGGCTCGATCCCACAACTCTGAGATCATGACCTGAGCCGAAATCAGGAGTCAGACGCTTGAGCCACCCATGCACCCCATCCTTTTGACTTTTTTAATGGGACTGCTGGAACATTAAAAATGACATACACGGCTTGCTCATCCAGCTGCCAAACAGCACTATACCAGAAGCTGAGGGGGTTGGACGCTTTCTGCTGCAATCAGCCTTATAACCTGCTTCATTTACAAAATTATTCTTTTTCAGCATTGGAATTGAAGCCATTACCCATCGATTACTCAACATATGAAGAGATATTTAAAATATGGCCAGTTATTTGGCATAAATTAAAATACCATTGTACTCACTTATAGTATTAGTTTGCATGTCAGAAATAACAGGCATTTTGGGGGGGAATATTTAATATAAGGTGATCTAAATTAATGTCAGTTATTGCTTTTCTCTTCATATGTATGCTTTTTTTAAAAAAAAGATTTATTTATTTATTTGAGAGAGAGAGAGCACAAGCCAGAGGGGCCGAAGGAGAGGGAGAGAATCTCAAGCAGACTCCTCGCTGAGTGCGGAGCCCGACTTAGGGCTCGATCTCCTGACCCTGAGATCATGAGCTGAGCTGAAATCAAAAGTTGGATGCTTATCTGACTGTGCCACCCAGGCACTCCATTCATTTGTATGCTTTTTCATCATAGCTATGATCATGCATAACTCCTGCACTGTGGGGTTATATGCACATCCACCATTTGAGACCCATTCCAGCCAGAGATATGTGTTAGAAAGGGAATTCTGGACTCTTCACTATCATGCTTTGGTTTTGCTTCTGGGGCCTGCTCTCTTAAGATACAAGCTCTTAAGCTTGTATTGCCCAGATTCTCACCTGGCCTTCTGACCCTGTGTGTATGGACTCTTTGGGCTTCTGACTGCAGCACCTAGTCTTCTAGCTTGCGTTTCTGATCTCTTTGGCCTGACCCTTCTCAACTCTGGATCAGATGCTGGCCTAGATTTATCACACAATGCCTTCTGCTCTTCATGCAGTTATTCTGTGGTAGACTTGTCTTTCAGTGCCAGCCAGCTTCCTTATCGTAGTCCAGCTTTTTCCTTTCCCTGGTTTGCCCTTGCCTTTGCCACCTCATCTGGCACTACACTACATAAATGACATGAGGGATGAGGGATGTTGGATGCGTGCCATGTAGATGTTAGCTTGGCCATTAGTTTTTATGAAAGTGTTTAAAATAATGAACATTTTTTGACTTTGTCATTTGTAGAAGCAGAACAGAGTGATGAACAGCTTCATCAAGAGATATCACAGGTGAGTTAAAAAAATATAGCTGTAGGGTTTTTTTGTGGGAAAACAGTGATGATTTTGTGAGTCTTAGGTCTTAAGTCTTTGTTGTTAACTTCTGGCTTTGAGTATGTATTTTTGCAGTAAGTCCTTAGGAACTTTTTCCTCTTAAAGGCATGCTAAATGTGGGGGTTTTTTTTTAGGTTTCAAATTTTATTCTTCCTTTGGCCCAAATATGTTAACTAGCTGGTAATTAAATGCTACCATTTACATTTGTATTGTTTAAAAATACCATTAATTTCTTAATTTTCTCTTGTAGGCTAATGTCATCTGCATAGTTTATGCTGTTAACAATAAGCATTCTATTGATAAGGTATGAATGTGTGACTTTTTTCACTATATCTAGTTAAATTTCAATGGGGGCACTTTTAAAATTGATCCTTAATTTAGAGTTTTCAGAGAAGATCCTCATTGTGGCTTAGCTCTTGTTAATTTTCTTTTTAGGTAACAAGTCGATGGATTCCTCTTATAAATGAAAGAACAGACAAAGACAGCAGGTATTTTTTTTTTCCTCTGAAACTTTGTATATTGAAAAATTTCAAACTTAGAGAAAAGTTGCAAGAAAGAGTACAATGAACACTTACATCCACTAGTTAACATTTGCCACTTTACCTATAGGTCTTTCTCTGTTTATACACACACACTGGTTTTGGGAGGAATTGTTTGAGGCAGCACATATATTTGTGAGCAAAGCAGAAAACAGTGTTCTGGTACTATAATGATTTACAACTTCTGACATGAAATATTTTGATCATTGATCTTACGTTTATTTCTCTTTCTCAAACCACTGCTTAAGAAGTCTGCACTTTAGAATTCCTCTCCCATCTGTATCATATGTGCCTTCTCGGTGGAGGTGCCCCTTGGGTGAGGAAAGGCTTCCCCTAGTCACTGATTGCTTATAGGGTGGTGTGTATAACAGCACGGGACTGGGAGGAGAATGAGTGCCCTCTGAGATCTGGCTTATCCACTTCTGTAGTAGAGACAAGGCTAATGCCTGTCTTGGCTGCATGTGGTAATTTTGAGAATCCAGTGAAATAATGCACTTGAACTGCTTTATAAGTTCTCTAAAGATTGCTAGAGATCTTTATTTAGGAATGCATAGAGGGAGATTCCTTCGAAATTCTTTGGAAGATACATGTGTGATGGGAAGAAGTAAGAGAACACACCTTCTGTATTTTTCTGAGCAGAATGATAGTTCTGGGTTTAAGTGTTTTCATTTTTTTTTTTAAAGATTTTATTTATTTATTTGAGACAGAGAGAATGAGAGAGAGAGAGCACATGAGAGGGGGGAGGGTCAGAGGGAGAAGCAGGCTCCCTGCCGAGCAGGGAGCCCGATGCGGGACTCGATCCTGGGACTCCAGGATCATGACCTGAGCCGAAGGCAGTCGCTTAACCAACTGAGCCACCCAGGCGCCCCAGTGTTTTCAGTTTTAAGTAAAAATGGAAACCAGAATTTCTTGGCAGTATTATTTAATGGAATATGTTATTTATGAGGTATTTTTAAATGTTAGGGAAATCAGACTAATATCTGTGTGTTGTACACATCTGGCCCTTTGTTTAATTTTTTAGATATCTCTGTTGGACATTTTTGTGCCTTGAAACTGTAAAGATCTGGTTCTAAACAGATGAACGTAGTCATTGACCCTGTCTCTTGTATTCACGGAAGGAGACTTTATGACTGAGATGGCATTGTATATGCTGTGTCTTGCAGCTCTGATGGCACCTCTTTGTCATAGTTCTAAACTTTTAAGTGACTTCCCGACAAGGTAAAAAAGAGACAGTGAACCCGTAGAGCTACTGTCCAATGTAGTAGACTCTAGTCAGTTGTGGTGATTTAACTCAAATTAAGTAAAATTAGATAAAACTAAAAATTCACTTCCTTGGCGTGTACGTAGCCACATTTCAGGTGCTCAGTAGCCACTTGTGGCTGGTGGTTACAGTAATGGACAGTCCAGATAAAGATCATTTCCATCAACACAGAGGGGCATAGCAGATAGGCCTGCCTTCAAGGGGTCCACAGCTACATGCTCCCACAGACACTTGCTCTTCTTGCTGCACACTTGAGAGATGTTTCCACAGGGGACTCTCCAGAGAAGGCAGTTTTTCTGGGCTTTATCAAGCACCAGGTGGACACCTGAATTTAAAAAAATTAGTTTCACTATGACAGCTTCCTACAATTCTGTGGTTAGTTTTGTGGCCCTTTTGTTATTCTCTGAAAGTAGCTTATAACATTTGAAGATCGAATTGAGCTTTCTCAGGTGTGGCTGTTTTTTCCCCCTTTCCGAATCATATGAGCATACTTACTTTTCTTGTGCTTGACTTGTCCCAAGGGGGTCTGTTTCTTTATTATATGGACCTTACACTTTCTTAGTAACTTCTTTCCTGAACCTCATACCTTAAGTTTATATTTGTTGCACATATATTTTCCGTAGGACTTCCATGGACTGTTGTCACAGTGGTTCTTAATCAGGGGTGCCCATCACTGTCATCTGAGGTACTTTCAAAGAATATAGGTGCCTTTACCCCACCCCTGGAGTTTTAAAATATGTAGGTTTGGAGTAGGGCTTGGACATGTGTATTTTTTTAAGCTCCATAAATTATTTTGTATACACCTTTAGTTGAATGCAAACCACTACATTTTTGGAGACCCTCCTGGCTTTGTTAGGAATCTATATTTGGGTTATATAGTGGGCCAGGCCCTTTATGCATAACCATACTAGGGGTGTAAATAAATGTGTGCAAGAATTTCTCTTGCTATCTGGAGTTCCAAGAAGATAATTTGCTTTTTCTCCAAGCTCTCTTGCAAGATGTACAAATAACAGTTCCCTGATAGACTAGCTCTCTTTGATAATCCCCATTTAGATTTCTCATAGGCCTTTTGGATTTAATTTATCTGAAACAAAATCCTTAAATCCCTGCCTACTCCCCACCTCCCCCCACCCCAAAAAAATCTTTTCTGACTCAGGAGATCTACTCAATTTGTCCAGCCAAAAACCTATGTAGTTTTCTTAATTTCTGCCTTGCCCTCAACGTCCATATCTAATCTACCAGTTGTTCCTATCCATTCTGCTTCTAAAATAGATCTCAAATCTGAATACTTTCTCTCCATCTTCACTGTCCTAATCCAGGCTACCACATTTTAAAAAGCTTTTTATTACTGAAAAAAAAAAAAAAATCAGACACATACAAAAGTAGGGAGGATCGTCTAATGATTCCCGCCCGTACCTGTCACCAGCTTCAACAGTTACCAATTCATGGCCGGTCTTGTTTCATTTACTACCCCTCCCATTGGGATCATTTTGAACAAATCATACTGTCAGTATTTCCATCTGTATCTCTAAAAGGCAACATGACTCATTTTATTGTGCCCCTACTCCTAATTCCTCACTGGCTTCCTGTTTTACACTTATAATAAAATGCACAGTCCTCACTGCAGCGTATGTGTCTGGCCTTTACTCCTCTTCCCCGCCCCTTTACGCGCCTCATCCCCGTCCGTTTACGCACCTCTTCCCTTTTGCTTAGTACTCTCCCGCCACTCTGACATATTTCTGTTTGGATTCACCAGGGTGTTTTTTAGGTTTGAGCCCTTTGTACACATTGTCCCTTCTTCCTGCACAGCTCTTTTCTGGCTCTTCACAGGGCCCATTCCATCTCCTCCTTTGCTCCTTCACTCAGATGCCACCTTGTCAGAGAGATTTTCCCCCAATTACTGTATAATTAGCCCCCTCCCATGACTGTTCCATATCCCCCTATTTACTTTCTTCATTGTACTTACAGAATTGGAAAGTGTATTGTTTATTTGCTTATTATCCATTTTCTGATTTTCGCTATTAGAATGGGCAGGGACCTTATCTGTCTTATATCCTTTAATGCTTAGAACAGTACCTGGCTTATAAGAAGTACTCAGTAGGGGCTCCTGGTGGCTCAGTCAGAAGAGCATGCAACTCTTAATCTCAGAGTCGTGAGTTCAAGCCCCAGGTCGGGTGTAGAGATTACTAAAGAAAATAACTTAACTTTAAAAAATTAAAAAAAAAAAAGTACTCAGTAAATATTTGTTGAATATGAACATGCTGCTAGGGGACTGGAACTGACTACAGTAGAGGGTTCATGTTGGGGGGATTAAGTAAAGCTAATTAGAATGGGTTATTATATACTTTAAAATAGGTATTTAAGGTCTTTTGCCTTCCTTATTATTGCAATATATTCTGTTTATTTCAGGCTGCCTTTGATACTGGTTGGGAACAAATCTGATCTGGTGGAGTATAGTAGTATGGAGACCATCCTTCCCATTATGAACCAGTACACAGAAATAGAAACCTGTGTGGAGGTATGCCTTACCATTTGATTTAGAAATTTACTGCTGGTGAATTCTCACTAAACTGTGGTTTGAAATAGGATGTGTGGAAGTGTGGGATGGGATAAATTTCCTGCTGTTTGTGAAGTCATGTAAACCAAATATAACAGAGAACTTGGAATTGACCTCTGAGTTCTTTGTAGACGTTAATATTATGATTTCGATGAAGAAAAATGTCTTTTTCAGTTTCTTCAAACAATCTTGTTATTATCTTACGTTGATAGTTTAAAATTTTTTAGCTCCCATAATTGCTTTTAGAATATAAAATTTTAAACTTTTTTTTCAGTGTTCAGCAAAAAACCTCAAGAACATATCAGAGCTCTTTTATTATGCACAGAAAGCTGTTCTTCATCCTACAGGGCCCCTGTACTGCCCAGAGGAGAAAGAGGTAACCCCCTGCCCCCCAAGCTGTGTTAGTAGGGGCTGGAATGTGTAGGTAGTAACTCTAGTAGTGATTTTTAGTAACTTTTTTTTTTTGTAAGATTTTTTATTTATTTATTTGAAAGAGAGAGAGATAGTGAGCAGGAACACAAGCAGGGGGAGTGGGAGAGGGAGAAGCAGGCTTCCCGCCAAGCAGGGAGCCCGATGTGGGGCTCAATCCCAGGACCCCAGGACCGTGACCCAAGCCGAAGGCAGATGCTTAATGACTGAGCCCCCCAGGCACTTCGATTTTTAGTAACTCTTTTTTTTTTTTTTTTAAAGATTTTATTTATCTGACAGAGAGAAACACAGCGAAAGAGGGAACACAAGCAGGGGGAGTGGGAGAGGGAGAAGCAGGCTTCCCGCCGAGCAGAGAGCCTGATGCAGGGCTCGATCCCAGGACGCTGGGATCATGACCTGAGCTGAAGGCAGACGCTTAACGACTGAGCCACCCAGGCACCCCTAGTAACTCTTAAGTATTCTTCTAAACTGCTGAAATTTAAATTATTGTCTACTAAACAATTACATTTTCTAGGTACTTCAAAGACATTCATGTTAAATACTATGAATAGTATTCCAGGTCAAATAGTATTTCAGGAAATGCCATTAAAACAAACAGAAGAATTGGCAACAATAACAGCAAAGTCTGAAGACTTACCTAATGGTTTACTTACTTTGCTAGTATAAAGTTCACAGACTTAAAAACACACACAAATGAAAACCCTGTGTAATGATTTGACATAGGTACAGCATGTAACACAATTTGAATATTCCATTCTGTTTCATAGCTAAGAAACACAGTAGTATTTAAAATTTAACAATATTTGCTATAGACTTTTTTCTTTTTTAAAAAAATTTATGTATTTGTTTTTTAATTCCAGTATAATTAATGTACAGTGTTGTATTAGTTTCAGGTGTACAATATAGTGATTCAGCAATTCTGTATGTTACTCAGTGCTCATCATGATAAATGTACCCTTAAGGTGCCTGGGTGGCTCAGCAGGGAGGCTGCTTCTCCCTCTCCCTCTGCCATTCCCCCTGCTTGTGCTCTCTGGCTCTCTCTCTCTGTCAGATAAATAAATAAAATATTTTAAAATAAATGAATGAATGAATGAACCCTTAATCCCCTTCATCTATTTGCCAAAGTCTTTTTTTTTGAAGATATGTTTATTTATTTGAAAGAGAGAGAGAGAGAGAGCACGCGCGCACAAGCTGGGGGAGGGGTGGGGAGAGGGAGAGAGAGAATCCTCAAGCCGACTCCACGCTGAGCACAGAGCCTGATGCGGGGCTCAATCCCAGAACCCTGAGATTGTGACCTGAGCCAAAACCAAGAGTTGGCCGCTCAACTGACTGAGCCACCCAGGCGCCCCTGCCATAGACGTGTATGGATATACCATACTTTGTTTATCCATTCATCTGTTGATTGACATTTGGGTTGTTTCCATTTTTTGATTATTGTGAATAGAAGAAGTTTGAGTACCTGTTTTCATTTCTTTTGAGTGTATATTGAGGAGTGGATTGCTAGGTCACATGGTAGTTCGGTTTCATTTATTGAGGAATCACCAAACTGAATGGCGGGTTCCAGTTTCTCCACGTCTTTGCCATGCCAATACTTGTTATTTTCCTTTTTGTGTGTTTGTGTGTATGCTTTATTATAGCCATCCTAGTGGTAGTGGTGGTTTTGATTTGCATTTCCCTGATACCTAATGATGTTGAACATCTTTTCATGTGTTTATTGGCCATTTGTATATGGAGAAATGTTTATTTAAGTCTTTACCCATGTCTTAATTGAGTTGCCTTCTTACTGTTGAGTTTTTAAGAAATAAAAAGTTGCAGATTTTTTCCAGGAAAAATTTATAGTATCGGTGAGTGCCTGGCAGACTTTGACCTGTGGGCTAAATTGGCCTGCCACCTGTTTTTGTACGGTTTGTGAACTCAGAATTTACATATTACACGGTTTTCAATGATTGAAAAAAAAATCTGAAGAAATAATATTTTGTTATATGGGAAAATATATAACTTTCAAATTTCATCATTTATAAATAACATTTTACTGCAGCACAGCCACACTCGTTCCTTTATGTTTGTCCGTGACTGCTTTCGTGCTGCAAAGGCACGAGTAGCTGCAACAGAGCCCGCATGTGCTGCGCTCACTTCTGCCTGCTGCCCGGCACACTGCTGATTGCACTGACCCCATTATGACTTTATAGTGTGAGTACCATGTGTGCCACGGTACCTGAGCATCTTACTGTTTTATTATCAGTGCATTGCCCAGCATGCCAGAACAAAAGAAATATATGGCAAAGCAGATAGATTTTCTGAGCTCAAACTCCAGTTCTCGCATCATTTTTTTAGGGACCTTAATGCAAATGCAAAGGAAAGTTCCATGTTTTATAATTCATTTGACTGTGCACTTGAGGAGCTTCCACCTAACCTTCAGTTGGAACTGATTAATCTGTAGTGTAATGACATGCTAACAGGAAAATATCAAGAAAAGAATCTAATATAATTTTGTAAATGCCTTCCAAGCAGTTAATGTGCTCAATTAAAATGCTCTGTTTATGGATATGTGTCAGTATTGGCCATGCATATCTACAAAATGATTTTCAAAGATGAAATATGTAAAATCTCATTGCAGATCAGCATTAACAGATGAACATTTTCAGTCTTCATGATAGAGAACACTAACTTTGAACCCTAATTAAACAAAACGTATTCCTCCCCCAAAAATTCCATTTTTCTTATTAGTAGACCTGTGTAGCAAATTTTTACTCCATTATTACTACATTTTGAATTCTGTCAGTAAAAACTTTATGGAAATTTGATTCTCTCTTGCTGTATAATATATAAATACCTACGTGATATTCTTGATTTTGCCTATTGGCCCCCAAAGCCTAAAATATTTGCTATGTGGTGCTTCACAGAAAAGGTGCCGACCCCTGGTATAAGTAATTAATCTGAGTTATCCCTTAATCTGACCCTGATTTACTCTTCCTTAATCCTGGTTTACTGTTCCATAATTGTAGTGCTTTCTTTCTCTTAGTCCCGTATTTCCCTAATTTGCCCCATAATAGTCACTAGGCACACTTGTTAAAAACACCAATCCTATTTTGATTCAGCCAGATACAGCATCTTATGATCAAGGAGATTTGGGAAAGTCTCATACTATAGAGATTTACCTGAGGCCTTGGCCTAGTGGTACATTAAATCCGCTCTATTAGTTCTCAGTGCTTTAATTGCTACTTTTTTCCTAGGCCTATTATTAGTTTTGCTAATCTGCTTATCTCCCCTGCCCTTCCCCCAGTCCCAGAGACTAAAACTTCTACCACCATCTGTTACTTGTTTCTTAGGAGGACCTGCCTGAGATAAAAGGTGTAACTTTTAGAAACTAAACCTTGTTTATGTAGACAACAATAATAATTTTGTTTCCCTAAGTAAGCTCTACACCAACATGGGGCTGGAAATCCTGATCCTGAGATCAAGAGCTGCACCCTCTACCAGCTGAGCCAGGCAGGCGCCCCAAAAATAAACTTTTTTTTTTTAAATTTTATTTATTTATTCATGAGAGACAGAGAGAGAGAGAGAGAGAGGCAGAGGGAGAAGCAGGCTCCCAAGGAGCAGGGAGCCCGATGCGGGACTCGATCCCAGGACCCTGAGATCATGACCTGAGCCGAAGGCAGACGCTTAACCATCTGAGCCACCCAGGCGCCCCCAAAAATAAACTTTTAACACAGGGAGCACCTGGGTGTTTCAGTAGATTGAGCCTCCTACTCTTGATTTCAGCTCAGGGTTGTGAGATCCAGCCCTGGTCCGGCTCCATGCTCAGCACAGAGCCTCCTTAAGATTCTCTCTCTCCCTCTGCCCCTCCATCCCAGGTTGTGGGTGCACGTGTGCACGCGTGCTCTCGCTCTCTCTCTCTCAAAAATAAATAAGCTTAAAAAAATAAACTTTTAACACAGATTTGAGGTGGAATCATCAAAAAAATAATATTCAAGATTAAAGCCTGATGATTAATTCAAAATTAATTCCAATGATGATGGACTCTGTATGGCCCATGGAGTCCTCTGCTTACCTGATAATGAAAAAGATGTGACTTGTATAATAATGTTTATTGTGTGAGGGTTTTAATTATTCATATGCAAAATGAAATGTTTAATTACTGTAAAAATTTTTTACAGCTTTATTGAGATATAATTAATACCTTTTAAACATAGTCATATTTTGGTGTTATGTTTTAAGGTAGTTACTATTTAAATACTGTATTGAGCCAGTAGCTTAGACCACTTTAGCTTTTTTTTTTTTTTAAGATTTTATTTATTTGTCAGAGAGAGAGAACAAGCAGGGGGAGCGGCGTGCAGAGGGAGAAGTAGGCTCCCCACTGAGCAGGGAGCCTGATGTGGGGCTCGATCCCAGAACCCTGGGATCATGACCTGAGCTGAAGGCAGACACTTAACTGACTGAGCCACCCAGGCACCCCCAGAAGAAGCTGTATTATTTGGTTTCTGATTTTTTTACTTAACTTTTCTCATTTCTTTATAATCTCTTTATATCTTAGGTTTTATCTTTGTCTCATTACATCAAATTGTCTCCTAGAGACCCTATTTAAAACAACATAAGAAAGGATTGTCTATATGTTTGAGAAGATAATAATACTGTTTGTTCCAGATAGCGGTATGGCTGAGGTTCATAAGTACACATTTCCTCACCTTGCCATCTTCATTTCTCTGACTCAGACTGTCCATAGGAGATCTCCTTACAGATTTACACAGTGTTTAGAGATCTTCCTGAAAGTTTTATTTTCTCAAGATAGTTGACAGTGGTTATCCTGTAGTAAACTATACAAATCAGAAGCGTGTAGGCCTTATTTTTAAATAGTAAAATACTTGTTCTATCCATTATATATCCTAAAACAAAATTAAGGAAGTTGTCAAAATACATTTCCAGCAGCATTACTTTTAAAAGTTTTATAGAGTCACAATAGGCAAGATTCTTTTTAAAATGCAAGTAATTCTTATAATAGGAAGTTAATTAAAGGCTTTTATACTTTTGCCACCTGTTTGTGATTAAGCATACTTAATTCCCAACTTTGACACACACACAAACACACGTGAGAGACCAAAACATTCAGTCCCATTCTTCTATCAGAAGGTTGGTCAAAAATCAGATGTTGGGGGATACCTGGGTGGCTCAGTCAGTTAAGCATCTGCCTTCGGCTCAGGTCATGATCCCAGGGTCCTGGGATCGAGTCCTGCATTGGGCTCCTTGCTCAGTAGGGGCCTGCTTCTCCCTCTGCCTGCCGCTCCCCCTGCTTATGTTCTCTCTCTCTGACAAATAAATAAATAAAATCTTAAAAAAAAAAAATCAGAAGTTGGTTATACCTCAGTAAAGTTAGGGGGAAAATCAGAAATTGGGAAGGAAGGCCCTTAGTAGTTTTATAGTCAGTTCAAATTTTTTATGGAATGAAGGAGAGCGTAAATAAATATTTTCTTTATGACTGGAAGAATACATTTTCTCTAATGATGAACTTCTTTTTTTGCTTATCCTTGGAGAATTTATGGTCACCAGGGGCAGAATTTGACCATTCTGTGTATTGGTCCAAGTAAATGGTACCTCATTTACTTAAAAAGACATTGAGTATAAAAGTAAATGGGTTTGCTTTAGTTCATTTTTCATGTTTTATTTGATGTTATGTATTTGATTATGAAAACAAAACATTACTTATGGAAGTCATATTTTGAAATCCCAACTATCTTAATTAACATAATTGTTTCTTTTCTCAATGATGTATAGATGAAACCAGCCTGTATAAAAGCCCTCACCCGTATATTTAAAATATCTGATCAAGATAATGATGGCACTCTCAATGATGCTGAACTCAACTTCTTTCAGGTAGCCCTCTTCTTCTTTAGGCATTTTTGTATCTTGGGGGGTTTCTTGTTGAGAAAAGCTATAAAAAATATTATTAGCTTAAACAATGTTATGTTGATAAGCATGTCTTTTTCATGTAAAACTGTCTTTCCCATCAAGCTATTTAAGTCTTCACCTGGGCTATAAAACTCTCCTATGCACAGGAATTGAGGAGACTCTTTGTGTCATTTCATGGTATACAATGGGTGTATTAAAGATGACTTGAAGTTTGAACTCTGAATTATTTTTTCTCTCTTGGTTTTGTATAACATGGGTACACAAAGAGCTCTGTGTTTTAGAAATGCTATGGAGAGAGTAGGGAAAATTTCTTTCCTTCTACATATGACATGTTTTATTTATTTATCTTTTTATTTATTTATTTATTTAAAGATTTTATTTATTCATTCAAGACACAGAGATAGAGAGAGAGAGAGAGCACGAGTAGGGGGAGAGGGAGAGGGAGAAGCAGGCTCCCTGCTGAGCCAGGAGCCGGATGTGGGACTTGATCCCAGGACCCTGGGATCATGACCCGAGCCGAAGGCAGATGCTCAACCATCTGAGCCACCCAGGCGCCCTGTAAGACATGTTTTAAATAAATAATGCAAAGCAGAGATGATCCTATTTTAATTTAGAATTTGGTGCTTTTTTTTGGTTGCAACTGATTTAATGTTGTTTTGTAGAATAATGTTTTATATTATTTGTGGTTTTAATACTGTTTTGTTTTTAAATTGATTTTTACATTTTTTGCTAGAGAATTTGTTTCAATACTCCATTAGCTCCCCAAGCTCTGGAAGATGTCAAGAATGTAGTCCGGAAACATATAAGTGATGGTGTGGCTGACAGTGGATTGACATTGAAAGGTGAGTGAATGGTGTTTTCCCCCCCTTTTAAACTTGATATTTTCAGACTTTGGCAGAAGGTGAAGGTCCTAGCATTATATATACTTTAAGGAAATGTTAGGATTTACTGATAGGCCTAAGATCTAACTTGGTTATTAAGAGTTAGAAGAGACAGGCCATTGATGGAGATAATTATCCTTACTGTCAGCAAAGATTAGAGGTGGGGAAATTGCTCAGATCTTAGGAATGCAGAGGTCCATCTGAGGGGCCGAGATTTCTGGGACAAACAAATTTTTTTTTCTTTTTTTTTTTAAAGATTTTATTTGAGAGAGAGAGAATGAGAGAGAGCACATGAGAGGGGGGAGGGTCAGAGGGAGAAGCAGACTCCCTGCCGAGCAGGGAGCCCGATGCGGGACTCGATCCAGGGACTCCAGGATCATGACCTGAGTCGAAGGCAGTCGCTTAACCAACTGAGCCACCCAGGCGCCCGGGACAAACAAATTTATCTTAATATTCTTACTACTTAATAGCATCCTCTAAATATAAATTATTTTCAGGGCATTTTGTCTACCAGTCACATTTACCAAGTACAAAATGTTCCTTGTAGAACGTATTATAGAGCCACAGTGAAATAAAAGATGAAATTGAAAACCACTGTTTTCCATTATAGAAATAAGTTCAAAAATCTATAAAATGACTTCATTTATTTTTATCATATAACTTTCTGAATGTCAGTGTATTCCTTGGGATGCATTTTTGGCCCTTTTATCCATTGCCATCTCTTGCTGACTTGGGTGTATATGTGAAATGATTCTGAAGTCAGCTCTGTTTCATTGACAGATTTATGAACTTTGTTTTGATTTGACCTTCGGTATGCAAAGCTGTATGCATATGTTCATGATTCTAGCTCTTGGCATTATGTGTTACATGCTTTTCTTCCTTGTGACTTTGTACCCTTATTCACATCACCTGTGCTTACTGATTTTATTTCAGGTTTTCTTTTTTTACACACACTTTTTATCCAGAGAGGGAGACACGAAACTACCTGGACTGTGCTTCGACGATTTGGTTATGATGATGATCTGGATTTGACACCCGAGTATTTATTCCCCTTGTATGTACCTTTAGCTTTCTAATTGATTTTGCTTGCCAAGTATTTTTAAGTTTTATTTGGCACACAGTTTAGGTAGGCTTTGAGCTACCCAGAACTAATTTAGATTTATAGAGAGGTTTATAGCAGGATTTGTCAACCTCAGCACTACTGATATTTTGGACCAGACAGTTCTTTGTTGTAGAGTCTGCCCTGTGTATTATAGGGTGTTTAGCACATCCTTTTTTTTTTTTTTTAAAGATTTTATTTATTTATTTGACAGAGACATAGCGAGAGAGGGAACACAAGCAGGGGGAGTGGGAGAGGGAGAAGCAGGCTTCCCATCAATCAGGGAGCCTGATGCGGGGCTTGATCCCAGAACCCTGGGACCATGACCTGAGCTGAAGGCAGACGCTTAACGACTGAGCCACCCAGGCACCCCTGTTCAGCACATCCTTAGTTGCCAGTAACACCTCCTCCCCCAGCTCTGACAACTGAACACATCCAATGTCTCTAGAAATTGCCAAATGTTCCTTCAGGAGCAAAATCATCCCCAGTTGAGAGCCCCTGATTTATAGCGTGGCATAAATTTTTCCTCTTCTTCTCATGGGGAATAAGAGTATCTTTTTTTATTCATCTTACTGAGGAAGGAGATAACAGATGCTGGAGAAACTTGCATTTGGAATCAAGACGTCAGTATATTGGTTCACTTCTTTCTATTAGTCCTTCTCCTCTGTAAGTTCTGTGGCCTTTTCTTAGCTCAGGATGAAATAAGTTAATTTTTCTTAAATAGCCTGTTTAGGAATTTTGTGGTTCTGTTTGTGGTTATTTTCCTCCGATAATGCTATGTGTAAGTTGTGTTTGTTTAAAATGGACCCAGTTTCACCTGAAACAGGAGACTGCCTTGCTGTGTGTTGCCTCTTCTGTACCCCAGGGGGGTAGGCTTTTCAGGGAAGTGATGTCCCAATATCTGGCCTTTTGGGTCTTCAGCCTTTCTTCTTTACTTTTTCCTTGGCACATTGTCTTCATAGTGTCCCTTTTCATTTTAGCATAGCACCCCTAGCTATCTATGTAAGGGTTCAGAAAGACTCTTGTTTTTTCATTTATCATCATCATGGGGAAAGCAGAGTTCTTTCTGGTCCATTAATCGGGTCTAAGTTGAAACTTATCTTGTTGAAGTGACTAAATCTTGGCTCAAGTAATTTCCCAGATTTTTCAATAAAAAGCATTGAATGAATGAATTTGTCCCAGGACCTTTTGTCACATTTTCTTTTCTGTGCCATTAACATGGGTAGGTAAATTCTACAGGAAGTTGCTTATTACTTTCTTAAGCGTGACAGTAAGAAAACTCCGTTGCTTAGGGCTTTGTGGCTCACACTAATAGCTCTCAGTTTCTTTATGCTGTTTGCCTTTCATTTTCTGTAGAATAGCCTCATAGAGCTACCACTTGAATCTTTCTAGCCTTGTTATTAAACTGTCTCTTTCTGTCCTTCATACTGCTACTGGATTAGTAGACACATAAATACATATTTGCCCATGTCACTTCCCTTAGAGCCAGGATAAAGCTCAGTCTTCTTAACATGTTATACAAGGTCATTCATGATCTGCTCTGCTCATGCTTCACTCTCTGCCTTCATTCTAGAAGTAAATACTGCTACTAAACTATTTATAGTCTACCAATCATCAGTTGTTTCAGGCTCTAGGCTTTTGCCCAGGGATTCTCACTTTTCCCCCCTCTCTCTCCCAACCTAATTATTGCTTCTTATCCTTCAAGTCTCTCCAAGTGAGGTGATAGTGTCTCTCAGTAGGACTGACACCTCCCACCCCCATGCCAGAGATGTCCTCTTTCATGTGGGCCACCATAGCATCCTTGGTTTACCCATATCCACCACTTGCCTCATTCTTTTGCAATAGTGAGGTTGTCTGTCTGTGGTCTGTCTCCTACTTGACTGTGGTTCCCTAAGGGTAGGGAGCCTGTCTTGTTTTTGTGTGCCTAGTATCTAGCTAGCACAGTGCCTTTGATTGAACTGAACTTAGGATGGGTCACAGGTCAAATCAGGCAGAAATAACCTCTTCACATCTTTTCAGCTCATTAAATGTTGACATAAGCCATAATTATGACTTACAGTTTGTTTATAAGAAGAACAAACCCATTACAGTGTAATGGTGTTACTTGTAAAATTTTTATTTCAACCTGCCCTTCAGAAATTTAAGAAAACTTTGTGTGTCAGCTCAGAATGAGTGTTATTACAGCTCTTGTGAGGATTGCTATTCCACTCCATTGACTTGGAATGGCTTCAGCAAAGGTATTTTATAAATGGTATCATCCCACAAAAAAAGACTTGTTGCAGTTTTATATCTGTTTCTTAAATTTTAATATTTGGTTAATGATTTATTTTACTCTTAAATTTTTTTTTTGTCAATAGGCTAAAAATACCTCCTGATTGCACTACTGAATTAAATCATCATGCATATTTGTTTCTCCAGAGCACCTTTGACAAGCATGATTTGGTAAGCTTTCAGCTGTAGTTTTCCATGATTGTAATAAAATATTTTTCTGTAAATGATTTAACTCTGTTCCCTTAGCTAGGGGATGCTCATGTCACATAGCCAAAAATTGCTCAAACTTAAGTTAGACTAGCAAAAATTCTGTTTATTTACTTTTATTATTTTCTCAAGATGAAAAAGTCTAGTTTCTGGTAGATTCTTATATAGGTTTTCTTATATACATGAGAAGAATTTTCTTGAGAAAATGTAAAATTTCATTTGTTTTTAGAAGCATAGCTTTACTAGACTGGGGGCTCTGTGTTTGGGAATTATTCTCTTAGGTGTCTAAACATTTTGTATACTTCTTTGTGTATCCTCAGGACAGAGACTGTGCTTTGTCACCTGATGAGCTTAAAGATTTGTTTAAAGTTTTCCCTTACATACCGTGGGGGCCGGATGTGAATAACACAGTTTGTACAAATGAAAGAGGCTGGATAACTTACCAGGGATTTCTTTCCCAGTGGACGTGAGTACAGAGCTCACTTGTTTCCTTTAGAGTTACAGCCAGTTTAAAATTACAACGTGTCACATTCATCATTTTGTAAGTTGGTCAGGTCTTACAGAATGCTTCAATCATAACTGCCTGTGAGCAGGATTTATAGTGCTGCTGCTGTGTCTAAGATGAACTTTAGATGTTCTATCAATTTATCAGGAAGGTCCTGTTTGCTTTTGGATGATGTACAGGGAAACAGTAATAAGTCTTACATCAAAACTGAACTAGATTTTAATACTTTTTTGATTAAGGGAATTGAAAACCTCATTGCTATTACACAATTCTTATACTTCCAGAATATGGGGAGAGCATATTTTACTTGACACTGAAGGCTTATTTGAGGTTTTTTGTTGTTGTTGTTGTTTGTTTTTAATTCACTTCTTAGGGTTTTTCTGCAGTCTACCTACAGCATAGTTGACATTGTATCTGGGGCGCTAAGGACATCCTCTGGTCGCGCATGATGACATTATTACTTTAGCCTTGGTGAGACTAACTTTCTCAACACCAGGACATGTTCTTTTTTTCACATCACAAGAAGGGTTAACTAATTTCAAGTGCCTTTCAGTTATTTTTGCACCTTTTGCAAACCTTTTCAGATTTAATTATCAAGTCCTCAACCAGCCAATATTTGCAGTAAGCTTTTGTAACTTAGGAAGCAGATAATATAAAATATCCTTACCCTAGGTTTTATCAGCATCTCACTGCTCATCTCAGTGTAGGTATAGGAATCCCACTCTACCCCTGCCAGTCTTGCATCCCCTCCCTCTCTTCTCTTCCTGAAGAATGGCAGCGTAGGGAAACCCATGGTTGGGCACATGGGAAATTAAAGAAGTCTGACAAATTATCTGGGTCTTGTGGTAAGATTATTTGAGCTGTTGGGGATTTTTTTTTTCCTATAAATGTCCTTTAGAACTTTTCCCATTTCCACCTCCTCCCTTTCTTAGGCTCACGACCTACTTAGACGTCCAGCGATGCCTGGAGTATTTGGGCTATCTAGGCTATTCTATATTGACTGAGCAAGAGTCTCAAGCTTCAGCCATTACAGGTAAGTATCTGGATAGTATTCAGTTCATGCTAAGAAACATTTTTTAATATTCCGGGTTCATGTGTGAAAAGAGTGAAAATAAACTCCTCTTCATTAGTCTTTCATGTCTGTACTCTGTTCTCCTAGCCATTTGGTAATTTCTTTTGAGTTCAGAGTCTTGATTTTACTGTTTATCAAAAAAGAAAGAGTAAGGGTGCCTGGGTGGCTCAGTCAGTTAAGTGTCTGCCTTCAGCTCAGGTCAGTCTCAGGGTCCTGGGATCAAGCCCCGCATCGGGCTCCCTGCTCAGTGGGGGTCTGCTTCTCCCTTCATCCCTCACCCCTCTCTCACTCAAATAAATAAAATCTTTAAAAAAAACTTAAAAAAAAAAGAAAAGAAAGAGTAGAGGTTTTACTTCTAGCTTACCCCTGAGGACACTCCACTGATGAACATCAGGGAGGGCTGTGGGCAGTAAATGTAATGTGCCAGTTTATCTTGTCTTTTAATTTTCTTTAGACATTAAAAACAATACCTATTAACGCATAAGCCCTATACTGAGCTGTGTGTCTCTTGGTTTTGTAACCATTTTCTACACTGGGAAAACTTTCCCAGATTTTATAATTCTTGCTGAGCAATGTGTTCCACTTAAAGAATACCATAGGTATGGAAATAACAAATTAGGGAACGGATCGTTTCAAGATTTTCTTATATCCTAATTGGTGGGGGAAATGCCATATCTTACAGGAAGTCCCGGCACAAGAAAACCTTTTTTTTTTTTTTTTTTAAGATTTTATTTATTTGAGAGAGAACAAGAGAGAGCATGAGCATGGGGGAGAGGCAGAGGGAGAGGGAGAAGCAGACTCCCCACTGAGCAGGGAGCCGGCTAAGGGGCTCGATCTCAGGACCCTGGGATCATGACCTGAGCCTAAGGCAGACACTTAACGACTGAGCCACCCAGGCGCCCCGAAGACAATCAAACTGACAGAGCAAGTACCCTTTAAAGTAGTTAACCAATTAGATAGTATTTAATTCAGCACCAAAGAGCAAGGAATGAATTCCTAGCTAGCATGAGGTTCTCTCACTCTCACAAAATATTGTGGACATCTTGCTATATCAATAAGTATAGTTTTATAGATTTTAATGTTAAATAGTGTGTCATCATATGGATGTGTGTAACTTATTGAACTATCCCATGATTGTTATGTGTGTTTTTTTATCATTTTCAGTTTTTGGCTACTATAAATAGTGCCTCTGGTGAGCTTCATTGTAGTTGAATTGTGGGGTACAGCTTAAAGAGGTCTCTTTACCTCTGGAAGAGAGGCACCATTGCTCTGGTGTTGGAGCATTCTTTTCTGTTCTGCCTCTTTAGAGATTTACATTTGAAAGCCAGTGAACCCCAGAGTGCATATCCCTTCCCCATTTATAAGTTCAAGATGTGCAGATTGGAGATAGCATCTTTTAATTTGTAATTTGTTATGACAGTTACTTATCACAGAAGAAAATAGATGGGATATAATGTTGGCTATATTCATTGTAGTTTTCATTCATTTTTAGGATATAATTTTCCTTATGAAAATGTGCTACTTTTTTTATGCTGAAATAAATATCATTTGGTTACCAGAAGTTCACTTTACAGCCAGCTTTCAGAAATGCATCTTTTCCACCAAGTGAAGCCTTTCCGTATATTTAGTGCTTGGTTTCACATACAGCATGGCTGATGCACAGTATGTCTATTTATTCATCATACACTTCATAAAAATGAGAAATCACAGTGCCCTATTTTGCAGAAGATGAAATGGAGGCTCAATGAGTCTAAATGGTACATAATTAGGTTTTTTTTTTTCTTCTTAGTAACAAGAGATAAAAAGATAGACCTTCAGAAAAAACAGACTCAAAGAAATGTGTTCAGATGTAATGTAATTGGGATGAAAAACTGTGGGAAGAGTGGAGTTCTTCAGGCTCTTCTTGGAAGAAACTTAATGGTGAGAGTTCTCAGATAATAGAGCTTTATCCAGCAAATTTTTATTGTCACGAGCTTACATGATTTTTTCATAGCCACTAGCTCTTTTTACTGGAGCTCAGTGGCCTGTGTATATTAGTAAAGTACAACTTAAGGGTAACGATGATCCTGTTGAACTGCCTTTATCTTCGTTTCATTGGTGTTAGCTGTCATTTGTCTTTTTTTTCCTCAGCAGTATTTAGGTGGGGGTTAAACGAATGCATATGTGAAAGCACCTGATATGGTGCTTGGCATGAAGTAAATGTACAGTAAATATTTCAGATTGAACACTGTATCTAATTCTGGCCCTGAGTAAAGAGATGGAGGTGTTTCCAGATGGGTCTCATGTCAGACCAAATTATAGCACAAGGAGAATTGCTAGCAGGTAGCTCTGTAGTACATTTTCAGTAATGTAGTTTCCTTCCTTTTCAGCTGCTCCTTTTACTTTATACAGAACAAATGCATCTTTTGTCTTAGACCTTAAGAACTAAGAAACATAAAATCAATGTCCCCTTTGTACTGATAAATAATACATAGTGTAGGGAGGAATGCCCTTTTATTTATAACACACCCACACATACATGCAGAGTGTGTGTTGATGAAAACTAGGTACTATAACTTCTTATTGTAAATATTGAGACTTTTGGTTGTTTTCAGAGGCAGAAGAAAATTCGTGATGATCATAAATCCTACTATGCGATCAACACTGTTTATGTATATGGACAAGAGAAATACTTGTTGGTAAGAAATTCTCTGGCATATAAACATTACTAATTATTAGGTATATTTTTATGTGACTCTGAAAACATAATTGCATTTAATATCGTGGCTATATGTAGAACTTGTGTGATTTTTTTTTTTCTTTCACCTGGTTTATTCACTGGAATTAATTTTAATTCCCCTGATGTGTATGGTGATCACATGGGTGTAGGTATAAGTAAAAGTTAATCTATTTGTGTGCTTAATTGTATATTATACATAATAGAAAGTAAAAACGACAAAAATATAGCTTCTCTTTCCTCTTTCTTCCACTTTTCTTTAAAAATTTTTTCCTCTACTGTTGACTAGAAATTAATATGAAAACCTTACCGCAGGTGCTTGGTAGTTTGTACTCTGAATCAAGTTTCATCTATTTAGCAAGAGAGGAGTATAGTTACCAAATATGTTAGTCTAAAAAAATGGATGAAAGAAGTGCATGACTGAAAAGACACTATGAAATACAGTAGAAAGAGATTGTATGTTCTTCTTGGATCCAGTCAGTTTGGTTCAAACCTTCATCCACCATTGATTAGCTGTGTGAGTCAGGCAAGTGGCTTATTCTCTCTGAGCCTGACTTTCTTATTAAGTTAGCTCATATGAGGAGTTCCTAACAAATAATAGGTACCAGAAAAAGTTCATTTCCTTTCTTTTTGGAAATAGTTTATTCTGCCAGACAGATGATCCCATTGAATTTCATACAGTTTTTCCTCTTTGTGATAAACATTTTTTATCAGTTTCTTATTAAACCTTGTTTATCTCCCATTCTTCTCCTGTAAGTATAGTTCTGCTTAACTGGGTACTCAGTAAAAAGAGCTGACTGTGAATTTTCCTGTTTTTATTCTTATACTGTTCTTTGTAAATTGGTATCTTTCATGCCTCTGACTATCCATGCTGTAATAGTGTTTTATTTGGAATATATCGAGTCACTTCTGACCTTGTACTCCTCCTCAACATAATTGTACTATCTTACATAACTCAGTAGTACTGAATTTTACTCTTGCTGGCTCATTGTCATGGGGGGCTATTTCTTTAGAGGCTTTATAATAAACATTAAAAAAGGGTAGGCAGTGAAGTAGAACAAAATGACCTTAGTGTAAAGAGTCTTTTTCTTTGTTTTGTTTTTTTAAGTTGGTGAGGAGAAAATGTGGTCTGGTAGAAAGAAAATAGACTTGAAATCATATTTGAGTTCAAATTTTGGTCTGATGACTTGCTAGATGTGTTATCTTAGGCAGTTGACTTAATCTTTTTAGGCTGTCATCTTATCTATGTAGAGAATGTGCATAAAGGGCCTGCCTGGCACAGGTCGGTCACTAAATGTTTGCTTCTGTAAAACCTTAATCACAGTTTTCAGTCCTCAAAATCAGAAGCTACTTGTTTTTTTGGGTTTTTTTACTATGTTATGTTAATCACCATACATCATTAGGTTTTTTTTTGTTTTTTTTTTAAAGATTTTATTTATTTATTTGAGACAGAGAGAATGAGAGAGAGCATGAGAGGGAGGAGGGTCAGAGGGAGAAGCAGACCCCCCCGCCGAGCAGGGAGCCCAATGCGGGACTCGATCCAGGGACTCCAGGATCACGACCTGAGCCAAAGGCAGTCGCTTAACCAACTGAGCCACCCAGGCGCCCCATCATTAGTTTTTGATGTAGTGTTCTGTGATTCATTGTTTGTGCATAACACCCAGTGCTCCATGCAGAACGTGCCCTCTTTAACACCCATCACCAGGCTAACCCATCCTCCCACCCCCCTCCCCTCTAGAACCCTCAGTTTGTTTTTCAGAGTCCATCGTCTCTCATGGTTCATCTCCCCCTCCAATTTCCCCCCCTTCAAGAAGCTACTTGTTTATTTACACTTCCCACCTCTAAAAATAGCCTGAAAAGTTATGCTTAATTAGTACTTTATTTGGAAGTCAAGCAATAATAACACATCATGACTGTAATTAAACATCAATATTATGGTATTAATGTTTCTTATCTTTTTCTTTTTACAAGTTGCATGATATCTCTGAATCGGAATTTCTAACTGAGGCTGAGATCATTTGTGATGTTGTGTGCCTGGTATATGACGTCAGTAACCCCAGATCCTTTGAATACTGCGCTAGGATTTTTAAGGTTTGTTGTTCTTCTGGTCTGTAACTGTTGGTTTGGTCTGTAATTTTATATGGAGTTAAATGAAATTGTATAATGTGATGTTTTCTAACCAGGGAGAAGCAAGAAAATCACTTGTAGAGCTTTTAAAAAATACATATATTTGTCCCATCCGTAAAGGTTCTGGTTTCATTCTGAGGTGGTAGAGTCCTAGACATCTGTACTTTAAAAACATTTTTTTCCACATGTGACTCTGATGGGCACCCATAGTTAAGAACCTCTATATTAATGAAAGGTCCTCTTGGCCATTAGGAATGCACTTGGAGGGGTGCCTGACTGGCTCAGCCAGTGGAGCGCATGACTCTTAATGTTGGGGTTGTGAGTTCGAGCCCACATTGGGTGTAGAAATTACTTAAAAATAAAATCTTAAAAAAAAAAAAAAGCAGTGCACATGACTTATATATTGCCAGTTACACCAATAATAATAATAGAGCAAGGGGAAAAACCAGAGGCTTGAGAAGTCCTCACTTTGAGATTATCACCAAAATGCAATAAGAGTTAAAAACTGTATGCACAAAGGAATTTATTCTAGCATTGTTTTTAATAAAAAAACTAGAAATAATCCAGATGCCTAACAATAAGAGGATGGTTTACTAAATTAGGACAAAATAGGGGGCGCCTGAGTGGCTCAGTCGTTAAGCATCTGCCTTTGGCTCAGGTCATGATCCCAGGGTCCTGGGATCGAGCCCCGCATCAGGCTCCCTGCTCCGCGGGAAGCCTGCTTCTCCCTCTCCCACTCCCCCTGCTTGTGTTCCCTCTCTCGCTTTGTCTCTCGCTGTCAAATGAATAAAATAAATAAAATCTTTTAAAATTTAAAAAAAAGTAGGGGTGCCTGGGTGGCTCAGTCGTTAAGCGTCTGCCTTCGGCTAAGGTCATGATCCCAGAGTCCTGGGATCGAGCCCTGCGTCGGGCTCCCTGCTCCGCAGGAAGCCTGCTTCTCCCTCTCCCACTCCCCCTGCTTGTGTTCCCTCTCTCACTGTGTCTCTCTCTGTCAAATAAATAAATAAAATCTTAAAAAAAATAAAAAGACAAAATAATACAGTGGAATATTAAGCAGCCATTAAAAATAATGGTTTTTGAATTCTGAAAACATGGAAGATTAAGTATTATATTTTTAAATGGCTATGTCCAGCATGGCTGCAGCTATAGAAATGTATATAAATGCATGTGCTTAAGGACAAATGATATGAAAAATGAAAATAGTGAACAAAATAATAGAATTGTGAAGCAGAAATTTTAAAAATGAAAATAATGTGCTCTAGGATAGAGGAATTTAGATGGATTTCTTTTATTTCAAAATATGGTATCTTTTTAATAAAAAATACTGATTTTTTTCAAATTGTAGTGAATCTGAAGAGTCGTTATAGGTTCGTATGGTTGCCAGCATTAGAAAATTGGCCCTGGTCTTATGAGACTGCCCTGGCCCACTGCCAGTCATTGCCTCTTAGTTTACTTTCTCTTTGAGGCTATGCTTTGCCTAACCAGAGATAATTTTTAGTACGCATTTAATTAAATGTAGTAATTTTTTAACTTGTCATCAGATTTTGATTTTAGTTTTTATTCCGTAGCAACACTTCATGGACAGCAGAATACCTTGCTTAATCATAGCTGCAAAGTCAGACCTGCATGAAGTTAAACAAGACTATAGTATTTCACCTGCTGATTTCTGCAGGAAACACAAAATGCCTCCACCACAAGCCTTCACTTGCAATACTGCTGAAGCACCCAGTAAAGATATCTTTGTTAAACTGACAACGATGGCCATGTACCCGTAAGTACTTGCTCTGCTATCATTTTCATGTTGCATGGTTCATAATAACGTCACATGCCATGATGAGCCACGAGGGCGGAACCTTTGTCACATAGAAGTTGTTCAGCAACAGAAAGAGACTTTGTAATGAGAAGGAACAAATTTGAGTAAATGCGAGTTTGGTTTGGGTGCCATAATAAAATTACACAAAGAGTGCTTCTGACAGGATTTGTATATTTTTAAGCAGACTGTAACTATCTTAATAGGATAGTACAGTGAAACCCAACCCCTGACCCAGCATTTAAAAAATAGTCTTACTGCAGTCAAATGGGGTTGGCATCATGTTACTTTATGCTTTTAAGACATCTCCATATGAACAAAAAGTTCATTTTAATATTTTTCTCTTGATTCATTGACCTTGAGTATGTGGAGTATTCTAAAATATTTTATGAATTTATGTTTAAATTATAGATATGTTCGAGAATATAATGTCTTTTTTAAGTGCTGTAAAAAGTAGTTGTAATTGGAATTCCTGCTATATAAATGTTTTACATTAAGTGTTACGAACCATGAATTTTATGTACATTTATTGTATATCTGTACATGCATATGCATAAGCACATAACTGGACATTTTCATAGCTTACTAACTGCCTTAGAATTGCATGGTTCTTAATGGCATTCTCCTCAAGTACTGTGTGTGTATAATTCTGTTTTGTAACAAGATAGTTTTTCAGGCAGTGCGTTTCTCAGGACTTTAGCTTAATCTATTTATTATTAATTTAGTCTCTAAATTATTTTTCTTCTTATGAAAACTACGGTATAAAATAGAGTAATAAACATGGCTTCAAACTGAAGTCTTTCAGAAAGGTGTTAATTTGCACAGATTCTTCAAATCAGAGTTAACTTTACTGCTATCCTATTAACTAATACTTTTTAAAAAAAGGCAGCAAGTCCTTGAAATTCTATTTGTATTGGAAGACAAGTCATTCCTGTTAGTATAAGATAAACAGAACCTTATTTATGTTTTACCTTTGCTTTAAAACTCTCGTGTATGTTATCTACAGAGAGGATCATTACAGAGACAGACTCTCCCGAGACATGGGCAACACTGATAGAATAGAGAATTTGAGAAAAATCTGGGTCTTTCTAAAAACTGCTTTGTAAGTTACTTTTTCTTTATGGCTTCTGTGGGATTTTGTTGACATTTTCTTATAGATGACCAGATCTCCTTTCTTGCCGTAATTAACAATTAGTAATTATCCAGAAACGCACTGCTTGGTCAGGCTTACTGCCTAACTGTATATTACAGTGGTTTTTTTTCTTTTTCTTTTTTTAGTTTTTACTATGTAAATGCACTGTTTTAATCTTGTAGATAACTGTGAGTGTGTTTTCAGATCTGCATCTTGAAAACGTTTTACTGCAATTTGTGTGTGTGTGTGTGTGTGTATATGATAAATGTACATACAGGGACACTTGCTTATATGGTTAATCCCAAACTACTTCTCACGAAGCATCTCCCTGTTGCTAAGCATACTTTGCATCTCTCCTCTTTGCGGGGCGGAGCCTGTGTGTGTTGGAGAATCAGACTGAACTGATAAAATAACAGATGGATTCCAGTATGACAGCTGGTAGCGACTTAGTAGCATTGATATGTTCCTCATCACAAGTCAGGTTTTAAAGAGGAATGTCTTGAGTCTATGAGAGTTTAAAAATTAATTCTCGTTTTTCTTCATGTTGGGAATTAGGCATTATTGGGATGCTGCTAATCGCCACAACCATGCCACAGTGCAGTGTGATCTCATCAGATCTCACAAGCTAAGCCAAGTCAGATTGGCCCAGTCCTTTGACTGAGAAGCCTTTTTAAAAAAAAGTTCAGGTGTTACAGGAAGTGCTGGCATTGATCCGTCAGGTGGCGCTCTTCTGGGTGGGTTCTGTGCCAGGGCCTCTTCAGGGTGCTGCGATGGCTTTGTGTTTCTGCTCGGCTCTGGCCACTGGGCAGTCACTGGAGACCCCCTGCTCTGGTTGTTAGGACAGAGGTGAAATAGTGCCTATAGCAACTAGTACAACTCCACTCAACCAGAAAGGAGTCAGAAAGCCTCCCTAAATTTCATATCTGATACCAATTGGACCCACTGTTGATTTTTACATCCTTACCCAGAGTTTCATGCTATCATACTTAGCTGCTGTGTTTTCGTAGCAGATGAAATCAACCCTCTATTTTGTTCAAGTGGAAATTTATGAAGCACTTTGATTTCCTTTGGGAGCCAGGGTGCTTGATGAATTAAAGACGATGTTGTTCATATCTCCTCAGGGTTGAATATACTCGTCTTTGACCCTTTTGTGTATTTGTCACTCTTCTCCTTCCTGGTTTTCAGGCATGTGTGTATGCTGAGGGAGGAGGAGGGAATGGTTATTTCAATGCTAGCAAACTTTGTCCTTTTGGCGGGTGCTGTGGCTTACTCCGTTTTTCTTTTTATTAGTTTACATGAGGGTGCCATCTATTGCTGTGCATACTTGTTCCACTAAAACGCTTGTAATAATAATTCCATCCCCCCTCCAAAAAAACCAAGAGTGTTAGCTAATTTTCCTTAGGTTTTCTCTAGGGAGGGAGGAGGGAGCTATTGCTGTTTATTATATTTTTGGTAAATGTGGAATTCTGCACAACTTTAGCATGCCCCACAGTGTCCTTTTCCTTAGTGTTGCTTATGCCTAAATCTTTTTTTTTTTTTTTTAAGTTGGCACACCCTAACTTGTGCCATATTTGTAAGTAAGAACTCAACTCCTGTCCTTCTGTGTGTTTTCGCAGCCATGCCCGGTTACGCTGTATGTGCACCTGCAACAGGTGTACATTTTGCATCTGTCAGAACTTCCTCAACTCAGACTTGCTGCAATCTGTAAAGAACAAAATCTTCACTGCAGTTCTTAACAGGTTCTTAACTTTATTTACTGGGTACCAGGCATTCTGTTAAAATACAAAAGAAAAAAAAAAAGTGGATAACTATTTATGATACAGGTACTCACTACAAAGACCACAAGCCAACGATGCCCAACTAACTTCCACTAAAATTCTCACCATGGTGATGATGTTTTTAGGGGACTATAAAATAAGATTTTGGATTTCTTTTTTCATGAAGGAAGTTAAAGTATCGTTTATATGACAGGATGATATGTGTAGGGAGATTAAAATCTTTTGGCTGAGAGTTGTAGAAATAGATTAGGACTTTCATAGTAACGAAAAGACACACTGATCCCAAATGTGAAACTGTACTCACTTACATTCAACTAATGTAACTTAATTAAAACCATACTGGTGTGAACGGTATCTTGGGTTTGAAAAATCTCTGTATTATAAGTACCTGGAATGTTTATTTGAAAGAGCATGGCTTCTGGAAATGAGAATAATAGCGAACTTTGAGGATTCAAAGGAATATGGAAAGAGCAAAAGGTCTGTAGTACTGGTTTTTGAGGTCTTTATAATTGAGCCCAAAACATGAAGTATGCTTAGAAAGTAATATGCTTTTTAGAAAGGGAAGAAAAACAAACAAACAGGATATTTACATTCCTTCAAAGCAAAGAACTTGGAAGGTTATATTCTTATTCTGGTCATGCTTCCATTGTTCAGATTTACATTCTGTGAGCATTGAAGAGCCTGTGTACTATTAATTTGTACCTACTGTAAGTTTTTGTATCTAAACATGAATGAGTGCTTTGAAATTGACATTCAGCTGTCATTGGGAGCTGATCAAGCTAAATAGATTTTGGTTAGAAATGGGTCCATTCTTTGTCTTACTGCTGGCCTCTCACTGGAGGCTAGACTCTGGCTGTAGGATAGTTTGTGTCCACCAGCAAAAATAGTAGATGTGGCTATGAAGCAGTGAGACTATATTTAGTGTGGGTCAGAAACTGATTTTCAAGGCATTCTAAAAAGAGTTTCGATGACATTTTGAGCACTAGCAGCTCTGGAATAAGAATGCAGCCGTCTCAGGTGACTGCTTTGAAGGGACTGCCACACCAATTTGGTGGTAAAGTTCTGCCTCTGTCCTCTGAATGGCATCTTAGAAAGTAGTAACACAGATTCTCTCATGATGACTGTCTGAGAAAATGCAAGGCTAGTTCAAACCAAACAACATGCAGGAGCTCCGGTGTTGGAAATGGTAGAGTCGGAAGAGATTGCAGAACTCATCTGGTCTAACCTCCCATCAGAATGCCTTCCTGAAAGCCTTCCTGTGGAGAGTTCTGTTTATCTGCTGATGGCTTTCCTCCTTGGAGAGGGTTTTTGCTTTTGCCTTTGCTCTTTATTTTTCTTTTTTAACTAAAATGATTTCCCTATAACTTTCTCTCCTTTAGTTTTAGTTCTGCCCTTTAGAACAACATACGACTATTCTACTCCCTCTTCAACCTAGCAATCCTTCAGACATTTGAAGACGGCCATCATGTCTCCCCTAATTTTCTCTTCTCCAGGTAGAACATCCCCATTTCTTTCAGCCTTTTCTTGAATTAGATGGTTTAGTGACCTCATCAGTCCTGGTTGTCCTCGTCTGAAAGCCCTTTGGGTTTTCAGAGTTCCTCTTAAAAGAGGTGCCACTGAGAATGGAGAGCAGTGCTCCAGGTGTGATGGGACAAGTCCTGTTCCACAGTTAGGACAGCACCTGTCTGCTGCGTGAAGTAACGTTAGCAGCCCCATCCCACTGTTGGTGCATATAAATCTTGGGGTTCATTGAAATCAGATTTTTTTTTCATATGAGGTACTATTAAGGCAGCGTCCCCTCCTCTCTAATTTTGTACTTGACTCTTTGAACCTAAACACAGATACATATGTATCTCTATTAAATGTCATATTCTTCTTTTTGATCCATTTGTTCTAGCTCAGTCATTTCAAACATTATTTCTGTCATTTGTCCCATTATATATCTCTCTTGGCATTGTGTCATTTGCAAACTTGGTAGATATGTCTTTTTTATTGTTCAAGTTATTGATAAAAATAATGTTGAATACCAAGAGATTGGAGAGAGAGAGGAAGCCAAAGCCAGCAAGCCCTGAAGTATTCCCTTGGAGATCTCTTTTCCCAAAGACACAGGTTTAAAATTCTTGGGGAAAGATTATTCTATAAATTAAAAATATTTTATTATCTAGTCCATATTTTCTCTTATTATCTTATAAGAGATTTCACAGAGGGCTTTTTTGAAATCAGTATGTAATTTCTAACACATTCCTCTGATCCACCAATGTAGTAATTTTGTCTGAATAGGAAGTGACATCTATTTGGTATCTTATTCTCGGTGAACCCACCTTGGCTCCTAATAATTGCTAATCAAAAACCATCTATTTTACTTACCCTGTAAGATCTTGAGTGTCCATATTTGCAGATTGATTCATTGTCTGCATCTTTAGTGACAATTTTATTCTTAGGTCAGTTTAGTCAGCTTCCAAATGGAAAAGGTTGAGTGTGTATTAATGGATGAGCTTGCTCATGGTAAAGTACTCTGTACAATGATCTTTGAAGACAAATCAGCATATCTTGTCATATCAGTTTATAAACTAGAACTAATTTAATGGTAATGTCAGCATACATCCCGACATCTAGTAATCAAGAATGGAATGAGTGAAAAAGATAAGGAGGGAAACCAGTGTACCTTTCAAAGAACTCCTTCCTGATTCCTTGTAGTGTGTCAAAATTTTATAGAAGTACAGTGGAAATTTAGTTCTGTATTGAAGTTTCCCCTAGTTTACAGAAGGATGTAGACAAGGGAGATGGGGGTGGAGCCCCAGAACTTAGGTACCTACAAGGTCTGGATGGGTAATGTCAATGCACGAAGGTGGCCAAGTATGAGAAGTGAGAGACATAGGGACCGTGCCAGCCCCTGTCTAAAAGAGGCAGCCACGACTCAGCTCTGGCCATTTGTTGTTGTCCAGGCTGGCTGTTGCCAGGTCTTCTGATTCTATGAGACACTAGACATCAGGATTTTTATGTGAAATTTCCTGCTATTCAAATAATGGCAAGTAAATTTAAATCTTTAAAAGTACTGATCAGAATAAAACATGTTTACAGGCCACCAGCTTGCAACTTCGGTCTTCAGATATGGCCTAGAGTTGTGAAATTGCAGGCAAAAGGAAAAAAAAAAAGAAAGAAAGAAAAGAAAAGAAAAAGAAAAACATACACCCAAGGAATGAAACTGTCTCTTTCCCCTTCCCACCAACCAAGTTCTACTCCCTTTTACATGAAGAATCTGAGAAAGTCAGGGGTGATAGGGTCACCTTCTTTCTCTACTATCTCTCAGGTTGTGGCAGCCTTTGGTGGTTGGTCACCATTGGTTCGCCATGCTAGATAAATCTTAATGTTATAAAGCAGAAAAAGGATTGCTTAATTGGGTAAAAGTCACTTAGGAATTTTTCACTGTAATTCAGTAGGGAGGAGTCTCACTCAACACTAAGCCTTAAGTCTCTGGTTTTAGAAATCTGCCACGTCTCATGTTTGATTTAGAAGTATAAAAGAGTAGTTTTAAAGTTTTTATTTAAGCAAAAAGTTTCATTAAATGTCTGCAAAGAAATTAATAGACGGGTATTGGTACATACATGTTGATCTCAAATTTAATGTCTTGTTTTAGTGTGCTTGTTAACATGTTGGTTGTTGAAATAAATCACTTCCAGAGATAGTACATGTTTGAGGCCACATTCTCCCTTTACCTCCCTCTGCCTCTGTGATTTATTCACTCAGATACCTAAGTACCTGCTTTAGATAGGATCCTGCTGTGAGCTGGGGCAGAATATGAAGATGAAGAAGATTAAGGACCTGCCTTTAAGTGCCTTTCTAAATACTATGTTATTAAAAAATTTTTCCTTAGCGGTGCCTGGGTGGCTCAGTCGTTAAGCGTCTGCCTTCGGCTCAGGTCAAGATCCCAGGGTCCTGGGATCGAGCCCCACATCAGGCTCCCTGCTCGGCGGGAAGCCTGGTTCTCCCTCTCCCACTCCCCCTGCTTGTGTTCCTGTTCTCACTCTCTCTCTCTCTCTGTCAAATAAATAAAATCTTTAAAAAAAAAAATTTTTTTTTTCCCTTAAACTTTGGTTATGTTTTCAGTAACCTTAGTCCCTCAGGCTACAAAAGGAAGTGCTATAACCTGATCATGAGAGGATTTAAGCCTAATAATTTATATTTAGGCAGTTCCCACAGATTCATTTCTGAAATTATCCATTTTTTCCCTAGCTATCTGTCTTTGACCGGTAAATATTGTCCCCCCCTCTTTTTGAGCTTATTTGCTGACAGTACATATTTTAAGTAGAGAGTAGTAATATTTTTTCTTTTTAATGTAATTGAATATATATTTATTTCAAGATGTGAGAAAAGTGTTAAACTATGTATCTGACATGTAACTTTGTTCTCTAGTAATTATGGTCTCACCCTTGTGATCTGAACAGGTTTGTTTTTCTTTAGAACAGTTTATGAATAACTGGAATTATTTGAATTTAAATACATTTGGAAGATGATTAATATCTGGTCAGATGATTTTAATCTTTGGCAATGCTATTACACTATTTCAAATAATGTAAATTATGGTACTGGGAAAATATACCTTCTGATTATATTTTAAATTACCTTTTTGATCTGAAAGTGTTAAAATGATTATGTAGGAGTGAGCTGGATTGTTGGTTTGAACTACCCAGGGTTTTAGTTATCAAGTATTTATTATTCTGACTTCAGAAGACTCCTACTTTGCATGACGATGTTACTGTACTGTAGTGTGCTGTGGACTTTAATTTGTCCTTTCCTTTAGGTGTTCATTTTAATTTGTATGTCTGTGTCACTTAGTCATTTTTTAACTTCTCTCAGTCCCTGTCCCAGCTAATTTCTGTGTGTAATCCTCCCACTTCTCCTAACCTATAATTTAATCAAAATTGTTTATTTTATAATTTATTATTTTGGTGTGGTTTTCTTTAATACATATTTTGGTTTTAGGATTTCTTTCATCCCATTTTATTATTTGCATCAGCCATATGAATTATTTGTTCATGTTACTTCTTAAGTTCAGTAGCAGCATTTTACTTTAGCAACCAAGTGCCTAGTTCACAGTGAGTATTTACAGTGACCCAAAGGTATGATGGACAGTCATTGTACCCATTGAATTTTTTGCCCAATTTTTTTAATGCATTTTTAAATTTGGGTGTATGTGGCATTTATTTTAAGCCATTTATTAGTGATATTTACTCATATTGTTTTAATAATCACCTAACTTGTTCCTTAATAGGAGCCCGTTTTTTGAGGAAAGGATTTTATTATTGTCACAGTGATATGAATTGCCTTTTCATAGGATTGCCTATGAAGAGGATAGGTACCTAGAAATCTTAATGTTCTAGAGAGTCTTCTGGGAATGTAAGAGTTCTTAGGATATTATGTTATAGTAAACTATTATATCCAACAAAGTCTGTCCTGTGTTTTAGTTTCATATGAAACTTCTGTGTTCCCTTGTATCAAGGTCCTTACAAGGCTTTTCTTTTAATTAGGATACATAGTCATGTTTAAAATTATATAAGAGCTTATGTTATAGATTCTCATTAAGTAAGCCGCTGCTTGCATTTTAAATTTTTTGCCGTTGGTTAGAATATTAAAGGATGCCACAAGGTGGAGTTTTCCTGTTCTGATCTTTAAGTATCAGTAGGTAACATATAGATATTATGTGTTTCCCATGTATCTACGATCATGTATAAATTTTGGTTCTTCTAGTGCTTGGTGAAGCATTTATTGACATTGATGCACACTTACGTCCTTTTCCAAAGTATGTTACTATTTAGGCATGCTCAGTTAACAGCTTTCTTATGATTTGTGTTGCAGTTCATCTTTGTTGAATACAATATTTTGACTTCTTAACCTATCTTGAGAAATACCTTATTAAAAGATTTCATGCCTACTAGTTCAATTAGAAGAATTGTCATTATTAAAATTATTATTAAGAGTAATGGCATTATTATTAGAAATGAATGTAAAAGATACTTCACCAGGCAAAAACAAAACACCAAGAAAACAATGGGAGGAATAAAAGCAGGGAGGCCCAGGGGCACCTGGGTGGCTCAGTCTGTTAAGCGTCTCCCTTCAGCTCAGGTCATGATCCCAGGGTCCTGGGATTGAGCCCCACGTCGGGCTCCCTGCTCAGCGGGGAGTCTGCTTCTCCCTCTGCCTCTGCCGATCTCCCTGCTTGAGCTCGCTCTTTCTCCCTCAAATAAATAAAATCTTTAAAAAAAAAGGGGGGGGGGGCCCAGAAGGCTTTAAAAAGCAAGTGAAATATTTAAAAACAGAACATTTAACTACAATTTTGGTGACCTCGGTACAGTTTTCAACTTGAGCTATGTAATTGCAACTAGGAAAAAGCTGTATGTACTGTCTATGAGCACTAGTAACTAGGTTCCATGCATTATAGTTATGTAGGCGGTTGCAAAGTATTAACTTAAAAATTCCTACATGAAATACATATGTGGATAGAATTATAAAATTAGAAGAACATTCATATTCCTGCATCTGTGCACCTCTGCTTTGGGTTTGGAAAGGATCGGGTGGTGAGATGAAAAGAATGTAATCTAGGAAATTCACATCTATTTCTGCAAAGTTGCACAGGACGGCTGGTAAACGTGCCTGGTGGGACTGCTCTTCCCGCAGTCTCAGTGCGCTGCTCTTGAGTTCGCTCCACTGAACTTTTCTTTCCTCCTCATGAGAGCCTGCAACTGACATCTGGACCTTTCTGGATTCTCCCCCTTCCTTAAATTGTAATTTTTGCAGACTTTTAGGTCTCTGCAATATAGTCTATATACCCGAGATATAAAGTCCTGGGACACGTTATAAAAAACAATATTAAAAATACCCTATATGGGAATAGCTAGAATGGTTTAATTCCATTGAGCCCTTTAGAATTTGATCATTTTGTTTCTAAATATTGTAACTGATACCATTCCTTTTATTACTGGTCAAATACATTGAACCAATAAAGATTTTAACTCATGTTCTTACATATGTCATAAATTGTAGAGTGAATCAAAAGTATCTTGTATGCCTTCTTTAAGGCATTCTGTGCAAAGGTACATAGGAATTGTGGTCACTCTGTTATATGCCTTGTTCACACAGACACTTCTTAATTTAAGCCTTTATTGCCTGAAGTTTGAAACCTCCCTTTCTCTCTGCCTTATTAAGTAGCAGCGTAGGGGTGCGTGGCTGGCTCGGTCAGTAGAGCATGCAACTTTTGATTGCCAGGTTGTGAGTTCAAGCCCCACATTAGGCGTGGAGCCTACTTAAAAAAAAAAAAAAACAAAAGCGCTTGTCATCTGATTGACATATGAGCCCTCAGCACTTCTAAGCAGAAAGCCAGCATCCAATATGGAAGAATTTTCCATCTCAGAACTTAGAAGCTCTGACAAGTTTCAGATGATTAATTACGGATTATATTCCAGCATTTCGTCATTATTTCTTATGTTCTAAAAAGAGATACTGCTGATCTAAATTATTGTACATAGAGAAGGAAAATGTGATTCTGTTATATCAATAGATTTTTTATTTTTATTTTTTGAGATTTTATTTATTTGTCAGAGAGCGAGCGAGTGAGACAAGCAGGGAGAGAGGCAGAGGGAGAAGCAGACTCCCCGCTGAGCAGGGAGCCCGATGTGGGACTCCATGCCAGGACCCGGGGACCATGACCTGAGCCGAAAGCAGATGCTTAACGACTGAGCCACCCAGGCGCCTCTCAATAGGTTTTTTAAAAAGAATCTTTATACACACACATGCACACAGATTTTTGACCTTGTAATATTCATTTTTGGGAAGTGTCTTAAGGAAACTATACTAAATACAGAGAAAAATCTTACGTAGAAGGATATTCATCCCTTTAGTTATAGTCACCAGTAAATGGAGACAGCCACACCCATAGGGGAATCGGATATAATATATAATAAAGCTGTTTAAAATGATGTTTCTGTAATTTACATAATAGTAAATTTTTAAAAGGATATAAAATTATATAAATTATACACATTATACACATTATGTTTGCAGCTATGTAAGAAACACATAGGAAAAGTCTAAAAGGAAATACCCTAAATATTAGTTGTCTTAGGTGATGGGACTCTAGGTCATTTTTTTTCCTTCCTACTTTTATTTTCCTTGTATCTTATAATGAGCATATATTACCTTTTTGACAGTAAAAAAATAATAAACTAAAAAGAAAAAAGTATGCCATAAGATAATTTATTCTAAAATGATATTTTATGTGAGTCATTTTGAAAAAATTATACTTTTGAATTGTGGAAGAATTATTTTTGCTTGAGTTTTGAAATGAACTAGGAAGCAGCTTTATGAAACTATTACTCTGCTTCAGCTTGAGACCTGAAATGACAAACATGGCTCAGTTCTCATACGTATGGAATACAACTAAGATCGTCACACTGTTCTCTGTTCAGGTGCTGTGAGTCAGCTAAGCAGTGACAGGTGTGCCATCCATTATAAATGCGTTCTCATATATAGAGAGCCTGGTTAGTGCAGCTCTTAAATGCACATGCTAACGGGATAAAATAGGTCTCTAAGTAGACTTCCAGGTCTACAGGTGTCTTAAATAACCACTATAAGGTTGATGGAGTGATTGAAGTATATCTTATGAGTTAGTAGTTGCCTTAAGTTTTAAATGTGGCTTCACCACGTGTCTTTATTGTTTCTCATATATAAATATGAATTGCTGTTCTGCCTATGGAAGGCTATACTATAGCTTGTGGAAAACAGTCATTACTATCTTGAAATGCAAAAGTAAACTAAGCAATAAAGTCAGAATACATTATTTCATGAATGGTAATACTTGCTTCCAATACAACAAAGGGAGCTGTGTGAAACGGATTCCATACTTGAAAATATTTATGAGAAATCGTTTTGACTGACTTTAAGGTGATGACAGCTAGCTTTAATCCTAGTTCTTCTCTTCCCCAAATTAAAAAATAAATGTAGGGGCGCCTGGGTGGCTCAGTTGGTTAAGCGACTGCCTTCGGCTCAGGTCATGATCCTGGAGTCCCAGGATCGAGTCCCGCATCGGGCTCCCTGCTCAGCAGGGAGTCTGCTTCTCCCTCTGACCCTCCTCCCTTTCATGCTCTCTGTCTCTCATTCTCTCTCTCTCAAATAAATTAAAAAATAAATAAATAAATAAATGTAAAAAAAAAACTTTTAAAAATCCTCTATCAGTGAAGATGCGTAAAAATCTGAGAGAGACCAAAGCCGAAGCAGAAGCTCTACTGCCCTTTTAGCCTGTGTTCTCACTTTAAATTCTATGCATCTCTATTGATTTGGAGTTACACACTTTGAAACTCTCATCATAGGTCTCTGATAGTCCATGAGTTTGGAGTGTTGGACTCAATTTTTTGCAGATGTATGTTTACAGTTGTTGGTAGTCTGCAGTCAGAAGCATCAGTACATTTTGTGACTAATAGTTGTTAGCCTCATTTTGAATGAATACCTATGATCACCACCTACCGTCAGGTACTGTTTAGGGACTGGGTTCCAGGGCTTCTCTTAGTGTTTCAGACCTACGAGGACCAGCCTCGCAGGGATATATAGAGAATGTATATCACAGCCTTAGGTTTTCTTGCCTGGTATGTGAGTGTTTTTAAAAAGTACCCATAGATTTTTTTTTTTTTGGAAGTTTGGCAATTTGTTACAGAATACATTTATTTTAAATATAGAAAGCACGAGATGCATCATATTAGGGTGGCAACTCAGTTTCTGTGTGGGATGTTTAATTGAGAGATGTTATTTTCAGTCCCCTTCTTTTGTGAGCTCTGCTGTGAACTTCAAACTCTGTGCATGTGTATAAAGGTTAAGAGCCTGGGTAGCTGAGTGGGGTGCCATGCTGTTAGCCAAGGACGAAGGCAGGATTACTTACCAGGTGCACGCCGTCAGCTCTGTAGAAGATTCTATCTTCATGGAGTCATCCCATGGTCCACTTTGTCTTGAAGCCAGGTAACATTTCCCACAACTAGTGGGTTGGCCTTGTTGGGGTTTTTCCAACTGGAAAAACTGAAACCTACGAATTTTCTTCCCTAACTTGAAATAAATCAATCAATAAAACATTGCCTGTTGGAGGAACTAACTCACAAGGTGGAATGAATCTGTGTTATCACTTTGCTTTTGTAAAATAATATGTCAGGAGTGATTTTTTTTTTCTTTTTCTTTTCTTTTTTTTTTAGGAACTGGGGAGAATAAGAAATTGGAGTGCTGTGTGTTGTTTTGCCATGGTGATAAGCATGGAGCACTCTGGCTTGTATTATAGACTTGTTCTAGGATGGGCAGATTGCATTTTGTGATAACTAATCCAATCGTCACTCTATTACTGAGGCGAAGTCGTTTTGTACAATTGATATTCTTGGCTCTTAACTCTTTTGCGTATGTCAGTGTCCTGGTCTTTTAACGATGTCTGACTTTTGCTTCAAATCTGTTTGTTTCTTAGTTGTAAAATAACCTGAACTAGACAGTCTAAGCTCTTAATTCTGTAAGTTTTCTACATCTTCTCAATTGTGCTCATTTAACTAAAACTCCAGTGACACTTGAATAAAATATTCCAACTTTTGCTTTCAAGCATTATCCTCTTTCTGGTAAGCTGTCATACTTGAGACTCTTGAGGGTGCTTAGCAGTGTCATTAACTGAGCATGCTCACAAACTCAGTTTGTGGTACAGGCTGTCCCTGTTCTTGTCATGAATAATATGGCTTCTTTTATGTCATTTACCTTTCAGTCCATCATGTTACATGATGTCCTTTAGTTCGTACCATTGTCACTGCCTGTCTAATATCAGGGTTGGTTTTTGGGGGGGTTTTTTGTTTGTTTTATTTTTAATTTTCTTTCTTTAACCAGCAGTAACCCAATTAATGTGAACTGGTAAATCTTCCCCATACCCTTTGGGATTTTTTTGGTAAATTTTTATGGGGCTCAGTGTTTCCAAAGTTGATTTTAAGCATTGCTCTTAGAAAAGTATGGTCACTTGTCGCTTAACTGCTTACATGATAGCTTTTGATTCCTGGGCACAGGAGATCACATATTAAGTTCCATGAAATGGACTCTCAAGATTGTAAGATCTTGGTTCTACCTCTCAGTTTGAAGGACCGTGGTGGGATTAAAAAGTAGTAGGTTGATTTGTCTACGTTCTCCATTTCCCATGTGAAGAAAATGTCTAAAATTTTAGATGTTGATTACTCCCAAGTAGTAGCTAATTATAAAGACATTCGGCTTTATTAATGTCTTCATTATGTCTTAAGATAATGATTATCTAAGCGATGTACATGTGGCTATATTGATAAATGTTTTTGGTAATCATTACTGTATGCAATTAGCCTGACAAGTGTGCTAATACTTCCCTAAAAGTAGACTGTTAATATAATTGGTATTTTCATACTAATCATGTCTTGAACATTAATTATATTTTCTGACTACAGGCACGTGACACAAGCTGACCTCAAGAGCTCCACGTTTTGGCTTCGAGCAAGTTTTGGTGCTACTGTTTTTGCAGTTTTGGGTTTTGCTATGTACAAAGCATTG